ATATTTTTATTAATTTAATTTAATTTCATAACATAATTTACTTATCTTGACAATACTTTTTTATCATTCCTTTTTTAAATGTTTCAAAAGTGTGGTGCAAAACTAATGGAAATTTGCCTATTATTTTGTAGCGAATTATTGAGATAAATTCAAAAAAAAAAAAAAATCATTAACAATAGTTCTGCAATTTTGCCAAGATTCTTAAATTTAAAGCTTCTTCGTTTGTATAGTTGTTATGGCTTTCTAGCGGTTTTCTTTATAAGTTTATAGTCATATTTGGTTGTTAATTATGTAATTTTGTCTTTCCAATCCAAATCTCTACTCTATTTTATCTTTCATTTTAGTATTATTTTAATTTACAATACTATATAATAATTTTAACTGAGTGACTCAGAATTAGTCGAAGTGAATCACAAGTTGGTTTTTATAAAAAAGTTTCACACACACAAAAAGGCCAAACTAGCTGATTAAATAAAAAAAGAAACTAAAAATTAATGGTTCAAGATATGTTGAAATTGAAATAGAATAGTAAAAAATAATAAACGGCAAGAATAATTTTGGCCCTCTAGAGTCAGGAAGCTAGCTGTTGACAACAACATACAACTGTGAATGGCATGTTGTTGGAGTCTAACATTCGGATACTCCAAAATCGGTCATCGATTCATTGGTTTGGGTTCCGGAAGTACTATAAAGAGCCAATTCATCATCGGGTCACTAAGATTTCACGCGATTGATCGAACTAAACTAAGATAATCTACGGAAAGCAAGTAAAATAAATTGGTGGAACATAAAAATATTTAATTCGAATTAAAATGCATATACGGAAACTAAAAACATCGAAAAAGTAGAGAAATATTCGAGTTGTTCTTCTGTGCGTGTGTGTTCTGTGTTTTTACTAGTTTTAACGGTAAGATCAACTAACAGCCTCTTCTCCTAAAAAAATGGTTTTAATTATTTCTTCCGCTACCTCCGACCGCTGGTAACTTCTTTCCATCAGTTCCCAACCGTTGGCTTTTCTTTGAACCGCCTCTATTACGTCTGAACCAGCTACCCTCGTTCTGAACCGCCTCGACTGCCCTTAAATCAATCTGCAGCTTGCCCCAAATTGCCTCCATTACACCCCTAGCCGGTCTACGAGATTTTGTTCCCAACAGCCTTGAGTTGCGTGAAGTCTTTGGTTTTTCTCTTGTTGGTTTGCTTCATGGAACTTTCTAAATAAAACATGAAGAGGTATGGACCTATTCACTACGAAACACAGGGCCAGAGGCTGTTGCTCTCTGTCTCGTGGAAGCAGCCTCCCTTTGCTTCGTGGAAGCACTGTAGTCCAATGGAGGTTGTAGTTTTCAGCTCTGTAGAGACAATAATTCTTCGTTTTATAGAGGCACCGCTTCTGGATAAATTTTCGGCTGCAAGTTGCTCTCCATACTTTGAATAATTTGGACTTGGGTCCAAAACATATCTAAATATGTTCAACAATGAACAACAGCATCAAGGGCTGTACAGCATCATGAGTCCAAGAATATCATTCTCCAGTGATTTTGGTGATCCTCAGCAAGCAATTAAGCTCGAGAACTGATACAGGGAAGCTCCCGTGTCGTCGGACATTGCATTCACTGTGCCTACCTACAGCATGATCTCTGCTGATGAGTTTTCTTTAAGGGGAAGATGGTTCCCTTGAGGGAGAATTGTACAAGAATCTCTACCCTCAAGGAGGAGCTCCTTAGCTTGCAGGAGACGATGACGTCGACAATGCAAGAATTGGGAAAGGGATGAGCAGCTGGAAGGAGAGATTACCATTTTTTGTTCCTTAAGAAATGTAGCAGTGAAATCAACAGTCAGGAAAGATTTTGTGCTACAAGCTTTAATTAAAGGTGAGAGGCAGTTGCAGTTTCAAGATCGAGTTAATCTAAAGTATAATATGAATGTATGTTTTGATGTTGAATTGGTTTATGTGGGGCAGGGAATTCTTAATGCTTCTGGTGATGTTAGAGAAGTCATAAATATTATGAGGTTTGTTTTAGTGTATGTAAAGATAAAAACTGAAGTCTTCTTGATTTTGATCTCTTAAAACCCTAGTTGTGTATGATGATGCTCATTGTTTGTTCCCTTGGGTTTTCTACATGTACAAAATGGATGTAGATCAACTGTTTCCATGTAATAATTTGTATGTATGATGGGATTGGATTCTTATGATTCAGTTTGTCAAGAAGATATTCCACCATTTTGTTTGTGTGCTTCTCCTTAGACAACTTTCTATTGCCTTTACAAAGTATAGATAGATAGATAGATAGATAGATAGATAGATAGGAACAAAACAAGCTTTAAATCAATCATATACATCTGGGTGTGTTTGTTTGGGGGGTTTGGATTTTGGATTGAGATTTGAATAGTAAAAATTTTGAATTTGAACACAACTATAACTGTATGATGTGATATAAATAGGTGTTAGATATGATGTTTTTAAATATAAAATTAATTTTTAATATAATATAAAAAATAAAAAAATAGGGGTTTGATTTGATATTTTTTGGGGAAAAATTTTGGATAAATAGTAGAATTTTGACAAAATCCTATAAACGAACACACTCCAGTTGGACAAGATGAAACCAATGTAAGATAATCATGCATAGTTACATTTCAACGGGGCCTAATAGTAACCCATTTGCACATTACATAGAAACATGTTTCAGCTACATATAAGTGTGTTTGTACGGGGGTTTGGATTTTAGGTTGGGATTTCAACACTAAAATTTTTGAATTGGAATAGTAATATGATGTAATAAGTTAGATGTTTTGAATGTAAAATTAATTTTTATTATAATATAAAAAATAAAAAATAGGTATTTGATTTGATAAGGGAAAATTTGAAGAATAGTAAAAATTTACGGAAATACCCGTGGATTACTTTTCACCATACTTGCTTTTTCTTTCTATATAATTATCCTTGTGATTGATTGTATTCCCATAACAAAGCAAAAATAAAAACAAATAGGATTAATACTATTAAAACATAGTAATATTTTGGGTTAGAATTATTAATATTTTATGAGTAGATTATATATTGTGTTAATATATACATATTGTATTTTTAATACTAAGCCAACGAACTCAAGTTATTTAATATACATGAATTATACATAAATTTAATTGATAAAATAACATAAATTTAGTGGACAAATGGAATATTATTTAACCCTCGTCCCATATATAAAACGGGCTCCAACTGTCCCATGAGGGATGGCCTGGTGGTGTAGGAGTTGGACAGCTCAAGTCACCTGTCACACATTGTTTGTCTAGTATGACTTTTCGGTCGGACCTGATTTGCAGAGTATTAGGTTCGGCCGAGATTTACCCAGTGGCATCGCAATTCAATGAGAGTTCTCTGTAAAAAAATATAAATATGTTTATTGCAGTAGACCGTAAAAATATTCACTGATAAATTACATTACCAAAAATACAATCTTAATAGCAAACTAAAACACAAAAAAAAAAATTAAATTAAATTAAAAACAAAAAGATAGGGGAAAGGGGCCGTCCCTGCAATTGCGGAAGCCCGCGGAGGAGGTGGGTGGCTACGCGGCCTGCTGCTGGCGGCCAATACATAAAAGATAGGTAAAACGCTTATATTCTATTTGTTATTTGAGAAGTTGGACATTATATTTTATTTTGATTTAAAAATTATTTACAATTTTTTTGTGTTTCAAAAACCATTATACAAAAAATTCTTTAAAATTATATAGAATATTTTAAAAAATATTACATAAAAGTTTTTAAAAATAAGATCTTATGTAATATTATAAAAACACGGGAATTATTCAAGTTTTAAATTATAAGAAAACATAGTGCATAATTTTTAAATTACGAGTGAATAATAAGTAATTTTGACAATATATATATATATAATAAAATAGTGATCGTTATGAATGGAAATGAGTAGTGCTAACATTGATTTATTTCTGGGTTTTTTTTTTTATTCAAATAAAATGGTATTTAATTTAATTTATAATAAATTCATGCATTATTAATATCACTATTTCAATAGTAATAATAATAATAATACATAAACACTTTAATTATAATAATTTATTTAAAAAATAAATTATCCCCTGTCCCCGTCCAATTCTTATATATTCCAATTTTTTGTTCTTTTTCTTTAAAATGTATTTGTTTGAAGGATTTTGACAAAATTCTACTATTTATTCAAAAAATTCCTCTAAAAAAATCAAATCAAACACTTATTTTTTTATATTATTCTAATAATTAATTTTACATTCAAAATATCACGTCAAGACCTATTTATTTCAAATCATACAAAACTCCAAACAAACACACCTGGAGGAAATACATTTTTGAGAAGCCTTCCAGAAACAGCAGTGATATATATTATTATTAGCTGCAATAATGTTGAGGTTCAAAGCTTCAAAGATCTCACAGACTTAATTTCACCATTGTCTAAGTTATTACGTATGAATTTTATAATTAGGTTACGAGGCCCAAGTTAGAAGAAGATGTGGCTTGTAATTGGGTCCGTTACATTAATATAATATAATATAATCAGTGTATTAAACTTGACGACTGAAAAATAAAAAATAAATCTTCGTATTGTCTTTACACGATATACATAATAAAGAACATCACATTCCACGGCTCATCCGATGTGGGATAAATGTAATAGCACAATTTAGTCCGTCCTAAAACAAAGTATCTATTTCTTTTTTTTAGTAACGCTACTATCTACCTAACATTACAAATATTCTTTCAATTTACAATATATTACACAAATATCATTACCTTTATATCATACAATACTAATAAGATAGTTTAGTCTTTTTATTTTTATTTCTACTCCATCTGAATATAATGCTAATATTTCTGAAACTCTGTACAAAAAGTAAATGAATAGATAGATATGAGATGAAGAGACAGAGTACATTATTCCAACTTTCAATTACCAAATCTTCAACAATTAAACATCAAAGTTTTTAACAATATGATTAATAGGTAAGGGCGTGCGAACATAGGCTCATCGCTGTCACAAATTATGATGTAGGCTCGACCAGTTTGAGCCGACTTCAGGCATGTGCGCTTCCAAATGCAATGAAGGTCATCAATCTAAGCCATGGACCTTTGTTGATAGCCTATCGACCCATCCAGGTAAGTATGGAGCTGTATTCTCTTGATTCTACTTATATACTTTGCTTTCATATTCCTATTGCTATATCTCTCGATATAGGATAGATAATAAACACGTCGTTCTCCCTTCTAACTTGCTTAAAAATAGCAATGGTTATTGTTTCTATTCGAATTTTTAGAAGAGAAAAAAAAAAAAAACCATAACTATGGTTATTGTTTAAATGAATATATATATATATCAAATACATATTAAAAACCCAACTTAATAAATAAAATAAATATTCGATTACAGATTAATTTTTCCACGGTAAAAGATTTTGTTACGTATGAAATTTAGAATTAGGTTAAAAAGCCCAAGGTAAAAGAAAAAATGGGCCTGGCAATAGAGTTGATTGAACTGGCTGAAGGACACCGTGGGGAACTCAAGGAAAAACGGTTTATTTCTAAGGAAAATACAGGTCGGGAGGTCCTCAGGTCGGGAGGTCCTCAAGACGGAAAGTCATCAGGACGGAAAGTCCGCAGGTCGGAAAGACCTTAGGTCGGGAAGTCCTCAGGTCGGGAGGTCCTCAGGTCGAAAAGTCCTCAGGACGGAAAGTCCTCAGGTCGGGAGGTCCTCAGGTCGGGAGGTCCTCAAGATGGAAAGTCATCAGGACGGAAAGTCCGCAGGTCGGGAGGTCCTCAGGTTGGAAAGTCCACAGGTCGAAAAGTCATCAGGTCGGAAAGTCCTCAGGTCGGACAGGTCGGGAGGTCCTCAGGTCGGGACTCTGCGGCGGGACCAACAAGTCGGATGGTCTGTTAGTTGGGAGGTTTGTGGCTGAACTAGACAAGTCAGATGGTTTGCAAGTCGGTTATAGATTGGCAGTCGGGCCAGAAGGGCGGAAGGTCTGTGGTCGGCTCAAAGAGTGAAATATAGCGAAAATTCTGGTCCGCTGAGGACACGTGTCAGCAGGAGAAGGGTTGGAAGACGGTTGGAAAGGAGACGTTGTAACCGTTCGGGCGACGGTTTTCAGTACAGTTTCCCAGGGAATATTTAAGGATTTGGATCATCATTTGGCAAGGCATCTTCAATCAACTTCAACAAAGCAAAGTCAGATTTGGGGATCACCACTTTAAATTTCAGTCTTTTATTTTCCAGTTTATTTTCTGTACCATACAGTGTTTAGAGATTCCTAATCTCAGGCACTAATTAATCAAGTTTAAGGATATTTTCTATATCTTTGAATTTTACTTTATTTTTGTTGAAAAATTACATCAACAAATTGGCGACCACAGTGGGAGCAAGACAAAATTGCTCATTCCAATTCCGGCGATAATTTCATACGTCTTAGATCCGGCCGTATCATCGGAAGGGTCCATATGGCAGGTTCACAACCTCAATCATCTTCGGCACCGGTGGGAGAATCCGTTCCACCACCTATTGTGCCAAATGCCGGGGAAATCCCACAACCACCAACTGATTAGAGGTCTTATGTTCAACAAATGAACAACCAGCAAACTTTGGTTATGCAGAACATGTTGCGTGAGCAACAGAATCTGATGCAGAACATGTTAGATCAAGCACTGTCAAGGGTTAGTCTTCAACCCACTCAAACTCCACCAGGAGTATCACCATCCAGACTACAGGCAAATTTCGCAGGGCCATCATTCGTGGATAGTGCATTTCCAAGTGCCACAAATCCCAACCGAACGGATAGGGGAAAATCTCCTCTGACTTTTCCCAACACTGTTCCGCTGGGACCAAGGGTTTCCAGTCCGCAGCCGAACAATACAAGGGAGGACAGGCCTGGAGGATATATACATGATCCTATTCATATTCCTGTGCAGGATCCTTTCCATGTTCCTGATCATCAACGCTTTCATGTAGATCCTGATGAGATTGCACATATATTAAGGGATCAGTTTGGGTTAACTCCTCAGATGGCTAACCGCCCTGCATATCAGAGACCTTTCCCAGAAAGGATCATTAATGAACACCCCCTCCCAAGGAATTATCGACCACCCGATTTTCATGCATTCTCAGGGGAGGACGGATCTTCCACCATAGAACATGTTGGTCGTTTCACAGCACAATTGGGAGAAGTTGGTAATAACCCTTTTTATAAGTTGCAACTGTTTGGTTTATCTCTTACTAGAACAGCGTTTTCGTGGTTTGCAAGTCTGCCTCCTGGACAAATTCAGACGTGGGAAAGACTGGAGATGGCATTTCATGCCAGATTCTTCAATCCTTTACCAATTGTTTCTTTAACTGATTTACTAGAATTGAGACAGTATCCAGAAGAATCTGCTTCACAGTTTATAGAAAGGGTGCGATTGATGAAAGGGCGATGTCCTACGGTAATCAGTGAGAAAGAGATGACCAATTTAGTGGTCCGGAATATGCATACTCGCTTAAGAAAGGCACTCACTGCCCTGGACGTTGAGGATTTGGCAAGTCTTGCATCTAAGGCTGGACGTTTAGAGTCTTTGTTCAGAGAGGAAGATCAAAAACAGGCGTAATATAGGCCAACATATGGCGAGTATGGGAACAGAAACATGTGACTTTGATTTTAATCAGTCAGAAGAGATGGCAGCCGAAATCCTTTCTGGAAAACCTTATGTATGCCCCAAATTGAAGCCAGTACCAGGATCTGAAGGAAAGGATCAACCGACGTTTGATAGTTCGAAAGCTGACGAAATCTTTGATATCCTGCTGACTGATGGACAGATCCGTATTCCAAAGGGGCAAAGACTGGCCACTAAAGAAGAAATCAAAGGGAGACCATACTGCAAGTGGCATAATTCTTTCACACACAATACAAGTCAGTGTACTCATTTCAGGAAGGAAATTCAAAAAGCCATCAAGACAGGTCGGCTCAAGTACATCACTTTAGGTGTAGACCAGCAACCGTTTCCGAAAGTAACAACGGCAATGGTTGACATCCAACCAAGTTCGGAAACAGAAAAAAATTCGGCCAATAGTGGACAAACAGGGGAACGAACTCAGGCAAGCCCCAGAACAAAAAAAGGAAGTCAGCCAAACAGTGGCCGACCGGAAGAAAGACTCAAAGTTTGTGAAAAGCCAGTCGCTGAAAAATGGGACCATCCAGACGGTTCTTTTAATGTGGAGGTGAAAGAAAAGGTTTTAGTGCGTGACCACCCGACCAGAAAAACAGGGTCAGTCGGAAACAATTGGGCTCGAAATAAAAAGCCTTTACCAGTTGATATAGATCCTCGTTTCCCAGGTATGAATCGTACACAGATTCGTAATGCCAAACGCAGGTATGCTGCGAAGTATGGGAAACGAGTTCCTTCAGCAAAACAACTAACCGACGAACAAAAAGCAGCCGACCACTCGGCAGGAGATCAGTCCATTAGAGTCTTTTCAACAGAACAAACAGCCAACGAGCAAGGAGCAGCCATTCAATCTCCAAAAAATCGGTCCATTCGGGTCTATTCAAGAAAGCAACCGAATGACGGATTAGGCGTTTCAGAGTATACCAAAGGAAGTTCGTCGGGACAGGGGAAAGGTAAAGGAATATCAGATGAAATAATTAGAGGTTTTAGATGCCAACATTGTGAACGGATCAACATCAATCCATCTCTTGAAGAATTCCGTATAGAATCTTTGACGGTTCAATCTCGGAATAAGACAAAGGAAGAAGTTGTAACTACAGAGGAAAATTCGAGATCTGTTAAATCTCGTCTAGGGCCACGAATCCCTTGTCGAATGACAGAGATTAATCAGATGAGAGATGAACCGATGTGGGCGAGTCTGGTAGATGATCCTACGGACGAACCTTTATGGGCATTCTTGGCAGATGACGAATTGGAGGAAACAGAGTGGGCAAAGGCTTCAGATCCCGAGTCTCAGTCGGAGACACCTTCGATAGTGTTTCCTCCTATTCCAGAGGGTGCGATCTCCCATTTGAAACCTCTGTATGTTAATGCTCACATTTGCGGGAAACCAATCACAAAGGTTTTTGTGGATAATGGAGCAGTCTTTAATGTTATGCCATTGAAGACTCTCAAGAAGCTAGGGAAAGGAATTCATGATCTGTCTCCTGTGGAATTCGAAATGACAAGCTTTACAGGGCAGCCGACCAAGCCTGAAGGTATGATGGTTGCCACAATTGAAGTCGGACCAAAAAAGATCTCCACTGTTTTCTTTATTGTGGATGCAGATACTACATACTCTCTCTTGCTGGGAAGAGACTGGATTCATGCCTCTCAATGTGTGCCATCAACACTGCACCAACAATTAATGTTCTGGGAAGGAAATCAGGTCTTCAAAATGGAAGCAAATGACAACCCATTCGATGTATCAGAACAAGTTGAAGAGTCAGTTTTTTATTCCAGTCATTTGGCTCCGATGTCTCAATTGTATATGGCCAGGGAATACCCAAACAAGGGTTATAAAGTCACTGGCCAGAACTCGATGTTCTATTAAAAGAACAACTTTATTGTATGGCTCATGATAAAGCCACACCTATTCTTGTATAATTTGTCTGTTATGGGTGATACAAGTTTAGAAGTATGTAGTTCTCTTATTAATAAGTTCTATTTAAAGCAGTTATTACATAAAGCAGAAAATAGTAAAGAGATTCTTGATGTTCACCTCCAAGAAGATGAACAATTTCGTTGGCCTGATTTATTAGAAAAAACAGAACCAACAGCTTCATCACAAGACCCATTATTGGAGTTTAATCTAGGAACCGAATTGGTTCCAAAAGTGATCAGGCTAAGTGGTTATTTGTCTGAAGAGCAACAAACAATGATGCTCGAAGTTATTAGAAACAACATTGATTGTTTAGCATGGGATTATTCAGAAATGCCTGGTTTGAAAAGAAGTCTAATAGAGCATCGATTGCCTATCAAGGAAGGTTGCAAACCTTATAAACAACCCCCAAGGCGAATGAGCCCGGATCTGATGCCTCAAATCAAGGAAGAAATCCAAAAACTTCTCAAAGTGGGTTTCATTCAGCCTTGCCGTTATGCGGAGTGGCTGGCTAACATTGTACCAGTGGTCAAGAAAAATGGTAAGATAAGGATA